TTCAGAGGGCAGGAGCACAGACAGGAGCAGTTCTCTCTAGGCACAGAGAGACTTCCAGAACTTGGCCACAAAACTTCCAGAACATGGCCACACAGCACGGAAGACCCACACCAGCTATCCACTGGTTTAATACTGTCCCCCTTAACTATTTAAATATTTTTATCCTGCTTTATACTTAAAAACACTCCCCAAAATTCTAGCATTTTATTACAGTTAGTCTCTTTTTAGAATTTTGTGAGCTTTCTTGGGAATATGAGTATTGACTGAAGTGCAGCATGTCTTCATAATATAAGTGAATGAATACATTTGTTTTCTCCTTTATAAAAGCGATCTCTGATAGCATCCATCATCTATAGGAATAAATTCACCAATTAACTATGCCTTGCACTAAGAATAGATTTTTTTGTCTGTATCATGTACCTGAAATCACATGAAAGTACTCTCTTTGATCTCTGAAGCACTATAATGCTTTTACAGTTTATCATATACAAATTAATTATACAAACAGGCTTTGTAAAATATGAAGCTAAGAATACAGGATATCTTATCAGTGCTTAGTAATTGTCCAGAATATTGAAAAGGAAATTTAATCTGATTTTACTTAGACTTCAAAAGTTTCTTACCTACAATGGAGAATATGACAACCACAAAATCGAATATATTCCAACCAATAGTGAAATAATAGTAACGGAGTGCAATCAATTTCAGGAGACACTCGCCAGTAAAAATGACAACGAAAATCAAATTAATCCAATATAAAATCTCTTCTACAGAAGAGTCTTGGTCAGCTGTTTCTACCATCATAGTGACCATGTTCAGGCAGATAAGAACCATGATGCCGATGTCAAAGGCTTGTCTACTTACAAAATCAAAAACAAAGCCTTGTATTTCATTCTAAAAAAGGAAAAAAGAATGTGTTATTATTTCTTGAAGGTGTGGAAGCTATTGTTTTAGTAAGTTATTTTTTCCAGTTACTGATAAAAGGATGCATGTTTTCAATTAAACAAAGTATTTGCTTCTATGTATTTGTTTTACCCAGTTAAATAAATAGTATGCATTCTTACTGATGGCCTGGGTATAGGTTTCTGTGGTTTTTTGGATCCCAATTTTTTCATGGCATTATAATATTTTTTCTGTTCTTCTGTCATAAAAATATCTTGACCTCCTAAGTAAAGAAGTAAAAAAAAAATGGTTACAACCATACTTTTACTCCGACAAGGACAAAGCTGTACAGTTAAAAAAGACTTTTTAGAAATCAGTCAACAATTTCCTGAGTCAACTAAGTGGTCACAGGATAAAAAGGGAAGTCTTCTCATGAACTACTAGTAACCAGTTAAAACAAAGTTATAAAAGATTCTCAAAATGAAGGAATGTGGAACAGTAGAATTTTTCAAGAATTTGTATTGCAACAAGTGGTTTTAATGTATTCATAAAATGTTCTAGAGATAGGATAGAATACAGAACTGGCAAAAGGTACTTTAATGGTACATTATTCAGAGTAGATAGAATAATAATGGATAGCAATGAGCTCCAAAAAATGTTTCCAAACTGATGTAATGGAATTAAAATGGCACATATAATTCAATGCATACTCATAGAAAATGATTATCTGGGGGCCAAAAATCCAATATATGTTGATGGAGTATTTGCTGGCAATGTCAACTGGATAAGGACTGCTATATGTAGTAGTTGGCTTGATGAAAGCATTAGGATCCAGCTGCCGTGTAGCAAGCAAATTCAACATTGGGATCTTTAGTTGTTGATTTATCTTAATCTGTTATGGTATGATTTACGATTATATTGTTAAGCTACTATTGTAAAACTACTTTCATCTGAGGATTTTGTATAAATCTTAAGGCATCTTATTTTGTTGAATAAGAGGGCTATATTCCAAAATACAGTTAAGAATTTTAAAAAATGAATATTTTAAAAATAGTAGTCAGACTCTTGAGTTCTTTTAGTCATTTAATGGACTGTATGTAAAAGAGTAAGGAAGATGAGAGAAATGGAGCTCTCTAAAAATCTTGAAAAGTACTTGTCCTAGATTCCCACTTGTCCCTAAGGTAGAATAATTTTTTGATTTCATTACAAATACTTGTGAAAAAGATTCACTAGAATATTGTATTTTTCCCATTTAATATTCTAAAATGTTAGCTACAAAAGATAAATTAAATAAGTAGCAACAGATAACGGTGAGTAATGATTCTTCCATTACAGCAATTATGCTATGTTTACTGTAGAGCCTTCTCAATGTTGTAGGACTGAGTGAGTCTGCAAATACAATATTTGCACACATTTTTATGTATAGCAAACAATTGCTAAAATATAATATATAGTTACTAATTTGAGTGAGACATTATCACTGTATTAGGAAGTAATTAAACTAATTCAGTAAAGACAACTAAAATGACATTCTAGCCATTTAATTATAACAATCACTACATGAAGTGAAAACTAATTATTTGAATACTTATCTTTTTTTTTTGTTGGTTGAAATTATCAATGATGACACCAATGAAAAGATTCAAGGTGAAGAATGAACCAAATATAATGAAGCCAACAAAATAAAGATACATATACAGGTTATGCTCATACTGGGGTTGCTTTTCCATCTATAAAATAAGGAAGCATGGCAAAATATTAACCAAAGAGTTTTCAGGAATGATGAAGAATTTGTATGCTTAAAATTTGCTAAATACCACCATGAAGTAATAATGAAACACTGCATAGAATATATAGAATATATCAATATACCTTGAAATCCATCCCCTTCATTAATTTCCCATGAGGGCTGTGAGAAAAATACCTTCCAACTTTATAAGACACGGTGACATTAGAAGCAGCAAACCAATACCTAATGAGGTCCACCTGGGATCCTTCTGAACATAACTCTATATTACCATTGGATATCCTATAAATGAAGCAGTGTGGGGTTCACTGCTGCAATAATGGAAGAGTCCATTGTTAGCTTCCTTAATATTATTCTCTTTAGTAGTAAATACTGGAGATAAGAAGATTGAGAACTCATTTTGGATGAGTTGGAGGATGATCAAACTAAGTCCCAAACAGTTGCTGAAGAAAACAAAATGGCTGCTTTGTGAGGAAAAGTTCATCAAATATACCATATACTTTCTCACTGTTATTACAGCTGCGAAGAGAAATGAGGGACATGGATGACAATTACTCAAAACTCTCTTTGCAAGGAGGAATGAGAGATGATCTTGGGTTAATATTCTTGGCTATTAGTGAGGCTCATGGAGAGAATAAATTTGGAGAAAAGCAACAATCCTCTATACAGATCTGGGTGTCTGACAAATAATTACTCTGAAGATCCTGTTGCTCTTACCAAAAGAGAGAAGCAAAGAAGAAAAGTCAAGTCAATGAGGCAGAATTAAGGAGTCAGTGCTGCTCCGAGCAGGATAAAAGTCAACTTTCTGCTGCTTAGTCCTAATGAATAAGCCTTCTAAATTCCAGATTATATTTCTTCTGACATCTAGAGACCAAAACTTTGAAGTACAAGGAAGATGCTCAAATTCAAGCATCTAGCCACTTTATTTATGGATCAGATAGAAAACAGTAACACTAATTCAATAATGTTTCTTTATACAATTTGAAAGGAAAGCAAAGTAATTATGAACACATGAAGATTTGCCATCATGTACTTACTCCTGTTGAATCAACAGCAGCGTACATTATTTCCGTCCAACCTTTAAAGGTAGCCTATAAAAAAGCAATATATCAGTGTTTATATATGGCGGATGCTGTTCCATCAACAGAGCAGTGGATACAACCTAGACTTCAAACTGAAAACACCTGTTTGGAATGAAATGAAAAGCTTCAGAATGAAGAACTGTGCTACTCTACAAATAACCCTGAACTAATTTTAATAGCCAAGTAAATTTCTGAAGTCTTATAACTGATACCTGAGTAAGATGGCCAGTAGTAGTGACTAATGCAAATGCTAATACACTCATCACTGTTTGGGTGGAATTTCCATATTGTTCTTCACTATCCTTAATTTTAATGACCAGTGCTCATTTTCACATGTTTCCTTTTTAAAGAAGGATGTTGTTGGAGTGAAGCATAAATATGTTAGAACAGAAGAACTGAAATGGTGAGTCATGACTATTTTAAACAAGTCACTTATTTTATTGATTGGATCAATCCAATGGCTTTCATCTGACAGAGGTTGAGGCAAAAATACTGCAAGAACTCTGCCAAAGACAACTGTTTTGTTGATATGTTGTTCCTGTATGCTAAATACTGCTTGCTTGAAATAGGGACATGGATTGATAGGTTTTGGCTGATGGCTTCATTTTGTTTCCATTTCCCCTATGAAATAATAGACTTCATAGTATAGATGGAAAGTAATTACTAGTATCAAACTGATAGTTACTTACAACTTGAAGCAGAGAAAGATATCCAGCTCCAACATTATCAAAGTTGACTTTAACATTTCTCCATCTGGCATAGTCTAAAGACTCACAAACATTTTTAAATGGAACGATTAAATGTGAAATCCTTATTCCATCTGTTTTATTAACACATTCAAAGAATGTACCAGCAAACAGATTTACACCCATGATGCTGAAAATTAGCCAGAATATAAGACAAACAAGAAGCACATTCATAATCGAGGGTATGGCTCCTACCAGGGCATTCACCACCACCTGGAGAGAGGGGAACAAAAATTGTGCAAAAGGTTGTAGGTCTACATCCAACAGTCTTATGACATTTGAAAGACTAATACATTTGTCCCAACACAAGCTGGACTCAAATGCACATCAGGTACATGAAATGTTATTCTAAGTTTGCAAAAAAGAAAAGAAAAAAAGGACTTACAGCAATGAAGCAGAAATTGCCTGAAGTTAAAATATATAAAACTAACCATGGACAATTCTCAGGGCAACATTCAACATAACAAACATTCTGATGTGGTCCACCAAAAAGCAGCAACTGGCAAGAAGTAATTGCCCTTCTCTCTCAGTAGCACAAAAGGAAATCTCAGGAATATAAAACAGACAAATCTTAAAAACTATGTTTCTGCAAACATTTTATAAGGTAAAAGATTTCTTCTTTTTAAACAGAGCTTCTGGAACTTCAGGGATTGACAATATGTAACGGATTCTATTTGATATCTTTGGACTGACTTGTCAAGAAAGTATGCAAGCTTTGCAGTCTAAGAGGAGTCTATCTGAGCCATATGCATTGGCAGGACAAAGTGGGGTGGGGATGATGAAATGATGCATATGTCCTGATGCATATGTAAATCATGGTGGGATCTGCACTGTGAGACATGTTTGTTTTTTGTTATTGTGGTTTGTAGCAGGTACCTATGATTTCAGCTTACTAACAGCAACAACAACATATTCTGAACAAGATAATGAAGATGGGGTGAAAGGCAGTATACTAATAAGGTATTATGAAGACAAACCAAAAAGGAAGATGAACATGGGTCAAAGCCAGAGGGGTGGGATGGGTAATAGAATAGGCATATCAAGGACTGCAGTCTAAGAAGAAAAACTGGTATTTTTTTTTCCAAAGTAAAACTTGGTAAACTATGAAATCTTAAAATGCTTGGAAAATGATGAAATAAATGTAAGTAAACAATATTATGCTTAAGATCTTCTGATTTCTTGCACATTTGTATAACTTTCTGAACTGACTTAATCATAAAGTCATTGTTCTGATACAGGCTTTGGATCTTTTTTTAATGGGCAACTTATCTATCTTTGATTTTTGCACAAATAAAATATCAGTAACAGCTTCAATATAATTTACCATGGAACACCCTTTCAACTCAATCCAGCTATTCTATTAACATTAAGTATACCAGTCTCACACACACAATATATACCAATCCATATAGATGCCCAAACAATCAAAGGAACTATCTCAATCATATTTCTAGTCATAAAAACGAATGCAAATCAACCAGAAAGTCTCAGTAGTGGTTATTCACACTCTTTTGACATGGTTGAACTACTGTAAAGAGAGGAGATGCCTTCAAAGACAACTTGGAAGCTACAACAGATTTGGAATCTGGCAGCCAAACTGGTAGCGTAGGAAACCCTTTACTATAGAATAACTTTTAATGCTTGCCAGTCAGCTTTCACTGAACAAGATAACAACCCAGCTCAGTGCGTTGGTTGTTAGCTGGAAAGCTCTATCCAGCCTGGCTTTGAATTAGAGACTGTCTCATGCATCATGATTTTGCCTGCCCTAGGAATGCAGGTCTAGAGTGGATCTGTCCAAGGTCCTGCCTTTGTGAGAAGAAGGCGGAATAGAAGGCAGGCCACCTCAGTGGCTTTGGGGGCCACCATGTTGGTTTCATTATGAGACATTGTTACTGTTGGGTGTCTCTTCTATGCTGCATTTGGTCACCTTTCTGAATCTTTTCAGTTTAAATCTAACTGAAGTAAATATATAAATTCGTGCCATAGCATTATCTTCGACATTTCTTTCCCACCAGCTTTTCCTCAAACTCAATTCATCATTTTATATTCTGACCCTTAATTTTTATAGTCCAGAGAGTTCATCATTTACCATCTACTGCATTCTTTAAGATTTTGCTTAGTCAACATTCCCTATTTTTGGAATAAAAAGTTTATCTTTGCAGTAACCTGCCTTTTCACCAAATTAATTGTTTCTAATTAAGAAACATTTAAAGTTAGTAAAAGGTCAGGATCAGAACAGAGTTGCTTATAAAGCATTTTTAATGATTGCTTAACAAATAAACATGATTCATACTAAAACAAGTCCCTCAAATCTTGCATGTAAGACTTTTTGTAATATAAAATTTAATCTAATTTATTTTAAGGTATATTTTTCTACCTATCTTGATGGTCAGGACTTACATTTTATTTCATTTGAATAAGTTTAAAAAATACCAATTTTCTATACACTTTTTTTTATTTTTTTAATTACAGATTGTTTGGTAATAAACAAAGCAATGCAATCTGTTCCAGGATTAATTTACACCTCCTTATGTTACAATTTTGCATAATGTGTCTTGCAAATGGTTCTAACGATAGCATCAAAAGAACAATACACTTGGCTATAAAATTATTTGCCAGAATGACTGTTGTTGTGATGGTCTTCTTCGTAAATCCTTATCCTTGTTACAGGGAATGTTTCTAATAGTAGAAAAGCCAAACAGCAGAAAACCTCCCCCAACAAATACTCAACAGCAGTGTTTCTCAACCTTGGCTACTTTAAGCTGTGTGGACTTCAGCTCCCAGAATTCCCCAGCCAGCCTGAAAGTAGCCAAGATCGAGAAACACTGCTCTACAGATATCCCCAATGAATCCTTATCTATGGGACAACCCATTACGAATTACTTTTGTCATACTTACCCTCATTCCTTCAAAGCGGGATAAGGCTCTTAAAGGTCTCAAGGCTCTCAGCGTCCGAAGTGATTTAATAGGACCAAGTTCAGAATAGTTCAAGGCGTTGGCAACTAAACTTACTAAGGAAACCTGCTCAAAAACAAGAAGCACTATCATATCAAAATCATGTCATTTCAGAATTGCTGGGGAAAAAAGGTATTTTTTTAAAACAGAATACCATAACTAAAAAAAAGAAAATAGAATTCAATTACCAGATGGGCTGCCAGGTCAATTTATCTGAGCTGAATGGTTTTTCCATCCTCTATTTATATTCTGTTTTTTACTTTGGTGGAATTCAAGGCAGAATACCAATAGAAATGTAGCCTTTTTTAGCAAGATCATTGCACCACATGTTGTAAACTAGCCTATTTTTACACATTACAGTAACTGTCATTTCATAGGTCCTGTATGACCAGAGGTCATTCCCAGTGAATTAAGGTCTGTAGAAAAGTTATACAACTTCTCACCTACTCTACTCATTAACTGAAACCTTTTATTAATGAAGAGAAAAAGACCACAGTTGCTGGTCACAGAACTGAGGTTTTAGATCTAAAAGTGTTCTGATCGCTGCATCTATGTTGGCATGACTACACAAGTGAAGAGAAATTAATAAGAATAAAATACTGGAGAAAGAATCCTCAGCACAAGTGGAAGGAGTGGTGCAGCCCACAGGGAACCCCTGAAGCAAAATCAAGAAGCACAAAATTAGATCACTGAAACATCCACTGTATTCACAGATACTTCAGATCTGCAGTTTCAACAGGGACCGCAAGAAGGCCATTCTTTTAACATAGCCAAAATTCTGGCAGTGAAATATAGGCAAGATTTCCCAGTTCCATGCACAAGCCCTTGACTGAGTGGACTACAGCATCAAGATTAAAGAGTTCAGAGAAAGGAAGTTCCTTCTTCCATCCCACCACTGCTGCTGATTGTTGATAATGCTGTAATTGCACAATTACCATGGAGGCATCCGTAAATGGCAAAACTGTGCTTATAACCTGAAACTGAGAAATCTGTGAGAGTGGTTGTCAAGGATGGCTGTATCAGTCTTCTAACTTGGTTCACAACAAGCTTCAAATCCTGTGAAAGCCTGATGGCGGTAGACGTTTGTGGAGCTAGATTTGAGCCAAGACATTCTGATGCCTTGGGCAAAGGTGACCAAGCTAGCAACTGAATGTTCTTTTCTCACAGATGATGAGCCCCTTTCTCTATTGCACCTGAAAGCAACAGCTTAGCTTGGGAGGCAAAGAGCAGTTCAGGTGGTATACAAAGACCTGTTTGGTTTGGATTCCTTTGCATCTGCCCCACAAGGTGGGGAGAGAGCAGGGCTGGCTCAGGGTTTTGTCTATTAGCAACTATATAAATGCAACAGAAGGTTTCAGACTGTTAACAATCTTCTGTTTTCATTTTCATTTGTAGCTTCTCTTGTGCCTTCTTAAGGATAATATAAACTTATAATCTTGTAAAGTAAAACTTTAACCATATAAATATGTATTTTTGCTCAGCGCTCTTTTATGCAGTAACATGTGGTTTTTCATTGGTCAATGTATGTTTTGTAAATTAATGCTCTAAAGGGTCAGCAACTTTTTCAGCTGCCAGGCAGTATCAAATGTGCATATACAAAATCAAAACCAAAACCAAAAAATTATTAAAAAATAAAATTAAAAATGACCCCCAGTTTTAGGAGATTAAGAGAGCCAGTCTGATGTAGTGGTTAAAGCACCAGGCTAAAAACCTGGTGCCTGAACTACTACATGAATTCTAGTCCTGCTTTGGGCACAAAGCCAGTTGGGTGACCTTGGGCCAGTCATTCTCTCTCAGCCTTGGGAATCAGGCTACAGCAAATCACTTCCAAAATCTTGCCAAGAAAACTGCAGGGACTGGTCCAGGCAGTCATCAGGAGTCAAAATTGACTCGAAAAAACAAAAACAAACAAAAACAAAAAAAATCTTAGGAGATAGTATGTGAGAACACAACGCTCATGCAAAATATGGCAATCTCACAAGATTTCAAGCATTTCTCTTTTAAAATAAACTATTAATATTATTTAAAAGCTTAAATTATGGACACCAATGGATGCCGTTTTGTTATAGCTCAGGTGTCACACATGATCACCTGCTGCACTGTTAGCTTCAGACTAAGAGATCGAGGTAGGTAAACTGAATCAAGACTTACGTCTACAATCATGAAATCCAGCCAGCACCAGGCATTGGTGAAATAGACTTGAAAGCCATAAGCCACCCACTTCAAGAGCATTTCCAGAATGAAGATGTATGTGAAGACCTTGTCTGCATATTCAAGTATGGTCTTGATGGTCTTGCGCTGTTCAATGTATATGTCTTCAAAAGCCTATGAATTAAAATACTACTACAAGTAAGGTCATAAGGGCAAAGGGCTAAAGATAGAAAAGGGGAAGGGAAGGGAGGGGGAGGGAGGGAGGAAGGAAGGAAGGGAAATAAAATGCCACCACCCATATTGTGCTAGATATTTAACATTTTTTTTTGCATTAATATGTATCTCAATTATATTTTGGATAGTTGTATTTTGTTATTCCATCAGGATTCTTTATGCTGCTTTTTTTTTTTTTTTTAAACACAGCATCTACTACCACTCTATAGGCCCTCCTTGTGAACCACCACACTGATTTGCCCCATTATAAAATACCTTTCTGGATTTCAAGGTGCCCAGGACAAACCTTTTTGCCCCAGATGCTTTGGTGCTTTTCCACCTCTGTTCCTGTTCACCTACTCGGTCTTTCCAGCCTGTTCCTTTGCTACCTCACCTCCTCTAATCTAATAGCTCATTCTTCTCATTCTCCCCTATCCATCTTAACAATCCATGTCAAAAAGGTTCCTTTTGTATCACTACTACTTTTTTTTTTTTTTTAATAACAGTGTGGGTACATGGCTTATAGAGCTGGCCTGGCAGGTGCATTGTTGAAAAAATGTATTCGCTGCTCCGTTACTTTTTTAAGAAAAAGAAAACTTTCCCCCCAAGAACTTTACTCAGAGAGCCATGGAGGTGGGGAGACTCAAGGATATTCTATCCCTTCCATCTTTGGATTAAGAACAGAAGGGTTCTTTTTCTACCTTTTCAAGAATAACAGTGTGGTGGTGGCGGGGTGTGTGGGTGTGTGCATGTATGTCCGTGTGTATGTGTACAAGGGGGGACCCAAAAACCCTTGGAATTTATTTATAAAAAATCATGTATTTATTTTTACATGTTCAAACTTCAGTCACCTTCAATGTACTCTCTGTTTGATGCAATCCACCAGGGGTCGGGAACCTATGGCTCGCGAGCCA